GCACTTGATTTAATCATATCACGGATTTTTTGTTTTAATTTTGTTTTTTTTTTTTGGCGTCTTTTCGCTTTTTTTATAATACATCAATTTAGTTTTTTAATTTGATTTGTCTTTAATACAGCCACTTTCTTCAACTCTTTTATTCCCATCGGTTTTATCAAAACAATTTTCATTTTCTTACAGTTAATTCAAACATACATTTAAATTCCGTTCGCTTCGCGAGTGAACTATAAATTTGTGTGCACTTGTGTAATAACACTAAAAAATTGTTTTAATTTCGTAATTCTGTTCTGTGTTTTCTTTTCTTGTAATCTCGCCGTTTCTCTTTTGTGCGTTGACCGTCGTAAGTCGTAGTGCTGTTTTTAGTGTTGCTTTTGCATGCACTTTAACTAATTTACGCTTCCGCTCTCTCGCTCTTTTTGCTTTGAAACTTCTAAGCGTGCAGTTTCTGCGCTCTTGCGGTACTTATAACTGCTCGCTTATAAATTTCATTTCGTTTTCTTGGTACAGTGGTTCCAATAGATAATAACGAATAATAATAATTTAGTCTGCTTCTGCAAAAAATGCAGCCTCGTAATAAGAGCTGACCAGTCTAATATGACTTGCTGGCTGTGTGAAAATATGGTGAACACTGAGTGCGCCGGTTTTACTGGCCGGACAAGTGATGACCTTTCAAAGGGGCCCAATTTGCAGTTTTGTTGCGATGCTTGTGTCGAGGTTGCAAACGAGATGAAATCGTTCATGCGCCAAACTAAAGGCGGCCTGATGGGACTGATTAGCTGTTTCGGAGTTGCTAGAGATAGTTTTCGCCGAGCTGATGATCTCCTCTCTGCGCTGGATTCGCAGTTTAATAGTCGTAAGCTATTAGAAAAGTCCCCTAAGCGCAAAAAGGCCGCTGGTGGTAAGCAGCAAAAGGGGAACACCCCGCAATCGAAAACAAAAGAGCAACAGAGCATTCCGGCGAATCAGCAGCTGATTGCAGCAAAACCTCAAATGTTGCTAAGATCAGCAGCTAAAAAAGATTCGGTATCCGAACAATCCGACTTCTAAGAATTCCGATTTGTCCGTAGTGGATTCACAATTAGTGGATCCACCTATCTCTCAGAATGTAGCATCACCACCCCAAGGGACTACTGGGGCCGGACAATCGGCTCAAGTTGGTTTTGCAGAAACAATGTCTGCTCCACCAAAATCCCTTTCAGTGGTTCCACTAAAGAAACAAATTTTCGTTTCTCGGCTTTCCCCTGATCAAACATCTTCTGATGTATTGTCTTATATACAAGACAAAACTAAGCCGATTGTAAAAGTGTAAAGGTGGAAAAGTTTAAGTTTTCTTATGCTAGAGACATTTCATATTTCAAGATAACTGTCCCTAACGAGCTTTTTGAAGCCATATGCTCGGGCGACTTTTGGCCGGATAATATGGTTGTAAAAGAGTTCGAGGCTAAGATAAAGAAGAAGGGCCCGTGAGAGTAAAACTTCCTAGTCGAGGCCAAACCAGTGTACCAATTTAAAAAAACTAACTTCTAACCTCCTTCTTTCCTATCAGAATGCTAGAGGTTTGCGTAGCAAGTTCACTAAATTGTATTCCGATAGCCTTTCCTTTGCATCTCATATTATTGTGTTTACAGAAACCTGGTTAAAGCCGGAGATCTTTAGCTCCGAAGTTTTTCCAGGTAAGTACACAATATATAGGTATGACCGTCCCTCTAGACGGGGAGGTGGAGTCTTAATTGGAGTTGATTCAAACCTCCCGTCTGAGGAGTTATTTTTTGATGAATTCAATACCATTGAATTTATTTGTGTAAAGTTATCGCTTCCTGGTAGCTCTATATACATAACTTGCTCATATATTCCGCCGTTGTCTGAACTTCCTGATTATTTAAATCACCTTTCCGTTCTTAAGTCTGTTGCAAATAAGCTTTCCACTGAGGATGGATCGAATGTCTTACTACCTATAGGACAGCATGATTTTATTGACGGCCTGCTTGACATATCTCTATCTCAAGTAAACCATGTTCGAAATTCATTAGGTCGCCTACTTGATTTGTGTTTTGTATCAAATCCTGAAGGTGTGTTTGCGTCCAGTGTAGCACCACTCACGCAACCTGAAGATCCTTATCACCCTACAATCGAACATTCATTTGATACGGGTAGAGTTATAGAAGAAAAATCAGAAAAGTCATCCAAACGAATACATTCTTTTCGCAAGGCAGACTTTCTGAGGCTAAATAATTTTATTTCTGGCTTTAATTGGTCTGATCTTTACTTATGCAATAATATGTCCGATGCAGTTAATGTTTTTTACACTGCAATAAATTCAATTTTTAATTCCTGTGTTCCGTGGTACTATCCGTCAATTTCCAATAAATCACCTTTGTTTAGCAAAGAGATGACACACTTAAGAAATGTAAAGTCCAGACTTTATAGGAAATATAAATATAAATTACCGGTTCTCAATCTGTTTTTACTAGATATTTAAGTGCTCGGTCAAGATTTACCGTGCTTAACGCTCAGTGTTATAATAGTTACTTAAACCGTTGTAAGGTCCAGTTTTCTTAGAACACGAATTTTATAATTTCGTTAACACCAAGCGTAAATCTAATTCTTTTCCTTCCTCGCTGTCGTTCGAAAACATGACGGCAACCACAGATCAGGCAATAGCCGATTTATTTGCCCAATTTTTTCAAACGACTTACTCTACTTTAGATTATTCATCATAGCCTTATTCTTACACCATATCCAGGTCAAACCTCATAATCTGTCCCACTTTAACAGAAAGTTTTCTTCTTTTGGATCTTCTTCGTATTAAGGCTGTTTATTCGCCAGGGCCCGATGGTATTCCTGGGTGCGTGCTTAGGTATTGCGCTAAGGCCCTGTGCAAACCTCTTCACAAGTTGTTTATCTTCCCAACTTCCCAATTCCCAAATATTTGTAAGGAATCATTTGTTATTCCTCTTTTCAAAAAAGGTAACAAATTAGAAGCCATTAACTACAGAGGTATTTCTAAGTTGTCAGCTATTCCTAAGCTTTTTGGAAAAATTATTACTCCTCATTTGCAGCACCTTTGTAGATCAATCATTTCTACGTGTCAACACGGATTTATTAAACGTAGATCCACAATCACAAACCTTCTAGAGCTCATTACATATGTGATAAAAGGCTTCAATAGTAGTTTTCAAACAGACGTCATTTACACTGACTTTGTAAATCACTTACTTCTTATTCAAAAACTTGACCTTTTAGGTTTTCCAGTTGATCTGCTTAAATGGATTTCAAGTTATCTGAATGGCAGGTCACAAAGGGTCCTTTTTAAAAATTAAATTTCTGAAATTCTCCGTGTTACCTCCGGTGTCCCACAAGGAAGCCAAGGTAAATTAATCAAAAGAAGTCTACTAGAATAAGAAGGTAAGATAAGATTTGCATCCCAGTTTAGGAGCCGTAAAGCAAAAAGAAGGAAGTTTTTTGTACAGATTCAATACGACCAATACGTATTACGTATTGTGGACTCCAGACCACCTTTAAATAAATCCAAGCACTCCTCTGGCTTTATTAACCATAGACGAAATGTGACTAGAAAATTTTAGTTTAGGGTCCAAGAGAACGCCAAGATCGTTTACAAGAGTTATTCTATCCAAAGAGCTGCCACTTAATGTGTAAGTCGCGTATATCGGATTGACCCGATAAAAAGTCATCAGCTTGCACTTGGATGCGTTTAAATTTAGTAAATTATCTCGGCACCAGTTTTGAAAATGATCTAGATCGGATTGCAAGTCTAAATGGCAGGAAATGTTCTATACTGCAGGCACAACTTAACATCATCTGCGTACATCAGTACGCGAGGAATGACTTATAATTGAGGGAAGATAAGTAATGTAAAAAGTAACGGACCCAGATGGCTCCCTTGTGGGACACCGGAGGTAACACGGAGAATTTCAGAAATTGAATTTTTAAAAAGGACCCTTTGTGACCTGCCATTTAGATAACTTGAAATCCATTTAAGCAGATCAACTGGAAAACCTAAAAGGTCAAGTTTTTGAATAAGAAGTAAGTGATTTACAGAGTCAAATGCTTTACTAAAGTCAGTGTAAATGACGTCTGTTTGAAAATTTTTTTTGTAATTTAATTTATTTAATTTATTAATTTATTGTATTTTAGATATATGGATTAAAAAATATGTGGAATTTTTATATTATACGTATTATAATAACATTATATAAAATTATTATCAAAATATAAATTAAATTTATATAAATATTTGTTAATTAACTATTTTCATTATTTAGAAAAAAGAGAAACCCAAAGGGGAACAAAAAAGGTTTGCGCGCTTTTCTTTCTAAACATAGGCGCGCGCTTTTCAAATCAAATTTAAAAGGCACTAAATCATTAAAGCTAATTTTTTTTTATTTACGAAATTCTAAAAATGGATAACTTACATAAAATGTACTTGTATTTTATTTAAATATACTCCTAAGGAAGCTAAATTTGGAAAATTAAACCATCCCTATAAAAATAAGTAATAAATATTTATCTATGATTTGTATATTAACTATTTATTTTATTAAATATACTAAATAACTAAAATAGTTAATATGTTAAATATTCTATTAAATTAATTAAATAATTTAAGTAGTCAATATACTGAATATACTATTTGAAAAAACTTAATACTTTTTTGTATTAATAAATACGCGACTTGGTGGATCTTTGACGATTTTAATAGCGACGAAGAGAGACGAAAGGGCTTTTAATTTCAATATAAAAGCCTAACTTAAGCCTAACTTAACGACGGGGGTGAGAGACGGGGCGAATTCGCGAGAGCGATTAGATCTTTATTGCGCTCCCGCTCCCGCCTTACACTATTCAACAAATTAAAATAAAGAAAAACGCAAAGTGCGCGAACACCGCCCCCTCTAAAAGGACCGCCGTCTTCAGCATGCCACAGGCAGCACCGCCAGCCTATGGACCGCTCGCCGATACGTCGCATCCTTCGTCCTCACGTCCGCCACTCGGACCTTGCCGTCAGCGCCGTCGTGCACCGCCACGATCCGCCCGATCATCCACTGCTGCGGTGGAAGATTGTCCTCGGCGACGACGACGAGATCTCCCACGTAGACGTTTGGAACCTCCTGGTGCCACTTGTTTTTTGCCTGGAGGCTCGAGACGTACTCCCTGGACCAACGCTGCCAAAACCTGTGCCTGAGACACGAGACACTGCGCCATCGTCGTAAGCAGGTTGGGCTGACTTGGTCCGGGAGCGCTGCTGAGGGTGGAGCTAGGAGGGGTCCGCCGATCAGGAGATGGCCTGGGCTTAGAGCTTCGCCGTCGTTGGGATCCGTGCTGATCGCTTCGAGGGGCCTGGAGTTGAGAACGGCCTCCACGCTGGTGAGGAGAGTTCCAAGCTCCTCCGCGGTCAGGATGTCTTCGCCGACCGTCCGAAGAAACGGGTGCTTTGCAGACTTCACACCTGCTTCCCAAAGTCCGCCGAAGTGAGGTGCTCTGGGCGGTATGAACGCAAACTCGCATCCTTTTCTTGATGCGAATGTTGCGATACCGCCCCCTGCTCCTCCAGACGGGCCCGGAACTGTCTCATGTGGCGATCGGCTCCGACGAAGTTCGTCGCGTTGTCGCACCACACCTTCTCCGGAATCCCGCGTCGACTCACGAACCTTTGGAATGCCAACAAAAACGCATCAGTGGTGAGGTCAGACACTAACTCTAAGTGGACCGCTTTGGACGCAAAACATACAAACAATGCCACGTATGATTTGTACGGTGGCTTACCACGGATACGATACGTTGTGTTAAATGGGCCACAAAAATCAACACCACAGATATTAAAAGGGCGGAGAGCTCGAAGTTTGTCTGATGGCAAGTTCCCCATGATTTGCGTCAAGAGTTGCGGCTTGCACCGAAAGCAACGAATGCAAGAACGAACTGTTCTGCGGCAAACTTCCTGCGCATTAACCAACCATATCTTTTCTCGCAACAGACTTACAAGAGCTCGAGAGCCAACATGACAATTTGTAACGTACAGGTAGGACACGTACATTTTAACAAACTGTGAGCCTTTCGACAACAACAACGGAAATTTGGCTTCGTACGGGATAGGAGCATTCAATAACCGACCCCCAACTCGCAGCAATGTCGAGGAACACCAATCTAATTTTTTCTCCTGGAGAAAAGGGCTTAGTTTTTGTATATTCGTTGCTACCCCTTTTTTTTTCGAATTTTACCCATGTCGTCACTGAACTCGTGAGATTGGATCACTTCCACTATTTTCTCGAACGCAAAATTCAGTTCTCTTGGTGTAATACTTTTTTCAAAGGGCTGCGACACTTTTTTACACCTTTGAATAAACCGTAAGACCCACACGAAAACCCTTAGAACCCTTATGTGCGACGAAAAGGATTCTATTTTCTGAAGCACATAATTGGGCTCTGGGATTACCACAAGCGCCAATGCTGATTTGCGTAATTCCATCGACACGACATCAGCAGGTACTTCGAAGTGTCGATTTACAGGAAAATCTTTTTCTGCATCGAGCAAAAACGACGGCCCAGCGAACCAAATGGAAGCTGTAAGTTCCTCAACATCACATCCCCGTGACACAATGTCCGCTGGGTTTACTTTCGTGGGGACATGTCTCCAGATTGCTTTTTCGGACCACTCTTGAATCTCCGCAACTCGGTTTGAGACAAAAACTGACAACGACGAAGGATGCGTTTTGATCCAATGCAAAGTGATCTCCGAATCCGTCCAGAGGAACACTTTTGCAATCGGAAAATTAAGCAATGGTCTTACACGATTATGGAGATCCGCAAGAAGGTGAGCTGCGCACAACTCAAGGCGAGGCAAAGTTTTCGTCTTGAGGGGAGCTACTTTGGATTTTGCTGTCAATAAAGATATTTTTAAACCTTCAGCGGTACTAGTGCGAACGTAGATGCACGCTCCATATGCTCGCATGGAAACGTCAGCGAAACCATGTATTTCTGCTGGGACTTTGGCGTCTGTATGAACGAATCGCGATACCTTGATCTTGGGCAGCTGCAACAGCGTTCCCTTAAAGGCTTCCCAAGATGTCTGCAGTTGCATCGGCAGCGACTGGTCCCAGTCTTACTTTCGAGGCCACAGTTCCTGCAACAACATTTTTGCCCTAGTCACTAGAGGACACAATAGGCCAAGCGGATCGAAAAGTCGGGCAGTCACCGACAGTATGTTTCGTTTTGTAGCACGAAGATCCAGGAAAGAGTCATCCAACCGAAATTGAAAGTAATCTTTACCCGGCAATTAAACCACGCCAAGGGTTTTAGTTACGTCTGAGTCTGCCGTTAGCGGCATGACAGCGCTTTCAGATGCGGACAACTCTGGGCAGTTAGAAAACCACTTTGCCAATTCAAATCCTGCCTCTTGCAATACCTGAGAAACTTCGTCTCGAAGGCTTAGCAGGTTCTCAACGCATCTGGCGCCAGTCAATAAATCCTCAACATAAAAGTCATTCTGAATGACCTTAGCGGCTTTTGGACACGAATCCTGCGCGATCTCTCCAAGCCGCATTAAACACCGAATCGCCAGATAGGGTGCTGGCGAAGTTCCATAAGTCACGGTGTTCAGCTTAAAGATTTTTAGAGACTCAGATGGATCTCGTCTCCACACTATGAGCTGAAAGTTCCGGTCAGCTTCGTCAACCATTACTTGACGATACAACTTTTTTACGTCTGCTGCAAGCGCAAACTTGTGCAGTCTGAACCGAAGAAGGGTCGAATACAGCTCCTCTTGAATGGAGATGTCATTCAACGCGACCTGCGTCGATGTACGGCTCGAGGCGTCGAATACCACTCTCAACTTTGTCGAGGTGCTTTGAGGTCGCAGCACGCATTGGTGCGGAATGAAATAGTGCGAACTGTCTGGAATTTTATTGTTAGTGGAAGACATGTGGCCCATGGCTTCATATTCTTCCATGAATTCCAGATACATCTTTTTTAAAGAAGGATCTTTGAAAAATCTTCTTCAAGAGTGTTTGGGTCAGATTTGAACGGCAAACGAACTGAAAATCTTCCGGACGACAATCTTTGAGTATTTTTCTCAAAGTGTTGCTCACAAAGTTGCTGCTCAGGAGTATGGACCTTGGCCTTGGGCGGCAAGTCCTCCACAGACCAAAATTTCTGCAGGGTTGTGTCTATTGACTCCAACACTTCCTCATGGCAGCTGAGATGTACCAACTTTTCAGCATTTCTTATTTTTTCTGAGGCACATCACCCTGACACTATCCAGCCGAGAACTGTTTTCTGCAAAATGGGAAACTCAGGCCCTTGCTTTATTTGGCCGACTGACAATAGTTCAAAGAACGAGTCTGCGCCTATAAGCATGTCTATTTTTTGGGGCTTGAAGAAGAATGGATCTGCCAATTGAATATTTTCAGGCACCCTCCAGCCGCTGGTGTTCACCGTTTGATCCGGATGATAAACAGAAATTTTTTTTAATATGTAAAATTCGGACGACAATTGACTGCTACCCACTCGCGACTTGACTATCGTGTGTATTTTCTTGGTTGCTTGAGCATTAGTTCCACCAATGCCCCGCAAGCTCAAACACACGTCACCTATTCCTAATCTGAGTCTCTGAGCGAGCTCGTCGGTCCCAAAATTTACTTGTGAACCAGAATCGAGCAACGCTCGAGCCAAAACTAATTCGCCACTTTTTGTTTGGACGCTCACGATGGCTGAGGCAAGAATAACTCTAGGTGGAGGTGGCAACGCGAGATTTGATGGCGAATAAATGTGCAGCAATGTGTGGTGTGAGGACTTACAAACCCTGCATCTCTTCAATTTGCATCTTTTTACCGTGTGGCCCTTACGGAGGCAGTTAATGCATAAGGGAGCCTTTTTTGCGAAATCGAATCTTTGCTGAACTGTTAGGGCAGCTAAAGGCAGTGCAATTTCCTACTTGATGTTCTGCTGAAATGCAAAACACACATACTTCGCGGTCGTCCATGGCAGCAACAAACGAAAAACTCCTGTTTCCATTCTTCTTTGGATAAGCCTGGCTCTGTTGAACAATTTTTGGCTTACAAGCTTCTTCGGCAACCATATGCTGATAGCGCTTGTTCAGGGCCGACTCACACTCGCTCCGAAGATGAAGCGAGGTATAATCTAATTGTTCTTCCCATTTTCTTTTAGATCCTGCATCGACTTTGCCCATTACTAGATGGATGAGGATGGCATTCGTAATACGTTTGTCATCCCCAATGGACAAAAGAGAATCGTACAGCGCTGTGACTGTGTCGATCAGGTTTCTCAAGGCGGTAGCTGATGGCTGGGAAATCTTTGGCAGATTAAACAGTGTCGATATATTGTCAAAGAAAATTAAACAATCATTATCGTACACCCGCCTTAGGCTAGCCAGAGCTTTTGGATAATTATCCGCGGTAACTTGGAATGCCCTGACTGTTCCTAGCGCGTCTCCAGCCAAACACGATATTAGATGGTTGAATTTTTCGATATCGTGCAGCGTGTCATTTTTGTCAACAAAAGTTTCGAAAAGGCTTATACAATTTTTAAATTCGGAATGTTTTCCGCTGAAGGTTGGAAGAGCGACGCTCGGCAAACGGCAGCGGAATTGTCAACGCTCTTACGCTTTGTTTCCGCAATTAGGAAATTAGCAACGATTTTGCTATTATCGCAGTCTCTTCGAACTCTTCGAGGTACTCATCATCTCCATCTTTCGCTTCAATTTTATTTTGTATAAGCGAAGCAATTTCGATGTGCGTATTTAGGATTTGTAATCGACATTCTAACTCAACCGTATTTAAAGAGAATCGACCCTCATTTAAATATCTCTGCGTTCGCTCTATACTCCTCATATATCCATCTCGTTGGTTTTTCAACTCTTCGATGTCCTGGTTGTTACTTTCTGATTTTGGCATTTTTTTTTTTATCGAAGAGTTTTAAATTTAATTTATTTTAGTTTTTTTTTTTTTATGTATGTAAATGTGTACAAGCAATTTTGTTTTTAAATTTATTTAATTTAAATAATAATAACCAACGAGAGGAATAAGCTGAACGCTAGCAGTGTAGGGGAGTTATTTAAAATGAATTAAGGAATTAATTTAAGGAATCCTAAATTATAAATTCAATATAATATGCCGAGCGCACGTAGTGTAGGGGAGCACACGCCAAGCTCAAACACCAAAAAACGAACAAACGTTTAGGCAGCGGCAACGCCTGCACCGTTCCAGCGATCGAAAACGAAAACGACGAAAGAGAACTCGAAAGAACGGGCTGCGCTGTCTGTGTGTGTGTATGTGTGTACGGCTGGCGGTGCTCAACGCAATGCTAACGGAGGATGATGCACTGACCGATAACTAAGGGCAACGAATATATAAACCTGACGCTTAAAAGCTCGGGAAATGGCGAAAAGCGAGGGAAATTTGAAGAAAATGCGCGGCAGAAAATTTGACGGGGATTTAATTCTCCAATTATAACTTTTCACAATTCTCAACTTTTGCCTTTTTAATTTTTTGCAAAGCTATAATTGGTGTTCACTACGATGAGAAATGGGGGAATTTTATTTAAAAAAAAAAAACCAAGATGCCGACAAATATTTATTTTATTTTGGTCCAAAGCGATTCACTTATGTATGGATGTATGTATGTATCAGAATTATACTCGTTAGTACATACAAGTTTTATTTATTTCTTGGTTAGAATGCTCGCTATCTACCGAATTTTTCACACGAATGCTAAAAGTTGAAAGATGGGCCAAAACACTATTAAAAAACGCCACAGATTAGCTTTCAACTTTTCGCACTCTATACCTGCTTGGCCAATTTTGGGCTTGAGACTTCCTTTTTTTCCATTTCAACAGCAGCAAGAGGGAGGGGTCAGCAGACTTCCAACGCAGTTCCAAAAGAAAACGAAAAATTCGTTGCCGTACCGACGCGACTTTTTGTTTTTATTTTTGGTGAAAATTAAGATCGCGAAAATCTAAATATCACGTCGGGGTCACCATGAAAAAACTTAATACTTTTTTGTATTAATAAATACGCGACTTGGTGGATCTTTGACGATTTTAATATCGACGAAGAGAGACGAAAGAGAGTGCGGTTTGGATCGAGTTCGATTTAACACTGGCTTTTAATTTCAATATAAAACGCTTAAGCCTAACTTAACGACGGGGGCGAGAGACGGGGCGAATTCGCGAGAGCGATTAGATCTTTATTGCGCTCCCGCTCCCGCCTTACACTATTCAACAAATTAAAACAAAAAAAAAAGCAAAGTGCGCGAACACTATTTAATAATTAAAATAGTTAATATATTAATTATACTACCTAATTAAAATAGTAATTTGTATAAGGAAAACTTATAAAAATGAATTGTAAGCGACCCTAATAAATAAATAATATTTTATTGATAATTAAAAAAAAAATGGCACCGAAAAAACATTCTAAAAAATATAACAAAACGCTTTCGACAACTTGGAAAAAAGTTATAAATATGTATGTACGTAATATTAAATATAATTATGATATCCTGTAGCTTAGTTTTATAATTAAGCATTTAATTCGTTTTATTACAAATAGTTTAACTTTTTATAAAATAATAATATTAGCTTTAAATATTTATTAGGTATACAAAAAAACGATGGATAAATAAAAATTAATATCTGCGTATCAACTTAAATGTTTCGTTTTATATGATGTTATTCATATTTACTTAAAATATTTTAAGTCATCAAATCAAAGTTTAATATATTTGAATAAAAATTAAATTTAATATTCCATTTTAAAGTTAGCCATGGATTAAAAAATAAAGTGAAATGTATTTAATTAAATATCCTTTAAATATATTCAATTTAAATATAGTTCGCTTTGTTTTTGTTTAGCAATTATATTATATTCAAATCTATTAAACTTTATTGAACAATTTTGAAATTTAATACAGCAGTTTTATATGTTTTGATTTAAAAGTTATGTTTTTAGCTTTAATTTAAATATGTAAAATGAAACTATGAATTAAATATGCAGATATTAATTTTTAAGGTATATAAAAATGTTTTACATCAAGCTTCATTGCCATACATATATACATAAATGCAATTTAAATAATCATCCTGTTCAATCATAGAAGTTCTTTTGACACACAATTAGTTTCTTAGTCCAGAAATGATTTCTGGACGAAAATCGTCTTCTCGAACAAATACGCACACATACGCACTTCCTTATTCGTGCAATACTATTTTTAGATTTTTACGCTATCAACTTTGTGCGAGCGGAGAGAGGGAATTTTCGTCGCCATCAAAAAACGAGCTGCATATTGCAAAACCAATGTACATAAGGGCGTATTGAATCAGTACAAAAAAAACTTTCTTCTTTTTGCTTTACGGCAAATGCAAATCTTAACTTACCTTCTTATTCAAGTAGACTTCTGCTAGTTTACCCTCCCTAGCCAACCGTAGAACGATGCTTGGTACTGTCTTCATTTATAACCTTATACATGGTGATATTGACTCCCCTGACTTGGTAAGTCGGCTAAACTTTTCTGTGCCAAGTAGATTAACTAGAAATTATATTCCCCTAATTTTAAATCATTGTAGATCTAACTATGTTTTGCATGAGCCTTTCGGAGTATTATGTTCTGACTATAATAGACTTTTTCTTATAATCTCAAATCTTGACTCTCTGCCGCTCTTAAAACGATTAATACTATCTTCATTGGCACAAAATTGATCTTACTATTACTTTTTTCCCCGGACTTTTACCTATATTTCCTTATCTCGCGTCTATCTTCTCGCGAATCGTGCCGTACGATACACGGATGCGCCCCTCGGTCGGTTGGGCGAGTAAGTGGGCCGTGGGACTCCGCGCGAAAAAAAAAGAAAAAATGTGATGATTTAAATATGTTTAAAAAAATGGTTGAAAATCCGACGAATTACAGATTAAAATGTGATAAAATGCTGATTAAAATTTGAGTTTTTCACTGATTAACTTCTATGATATGCCAATGTCAAATTCAACTCTATTCTGTATGAAAATTCATCGACTACTTATCACCAATGATGAATTTTTGGTGATTATTCATCAATTGAAAAATTGATAAACGGAACCGCAGAGTTATGGCATTAATGGGACCCCCCATTCTCGATTTCAAATTTTGACGATTTTCAATGGGGTGGTAAATGTAAATATATTATTTTTTTAGCTTGTAACTTTGCATCCATTTATTTGAAGTCTTAAAAAATAAGAAAAAAATTTAACATAATTTTTGGTTATGTTTTTTGTTGTTTTTTTTTTTTGTCATGGAACAAAAGCCCTTCTTTTCGGCGGCGCATGGGATTTCCGCTCACTGGAAGATCTGAAACCAAAAATTCCAACGGGATTGGGAAGAGTACATGTATGGCTATAGCATGAACTAGGATTATTAAATTTGCACAAAAATTAACAAAATGGCGGACCTTTGAACAAATCGGCTTCTTTTCAGCCACAAATCAAGTTGGAAAGTAAAGAAGATCTTCACCGATTTGATTTATCCTAGTTCACGCTATAGCTAGATAAATACAGAATAACGTATTATGAGTAACCTCATGCGCCAGGCGTAAAAATACTGTTTCGAGAAAAACGCGTTTAAAGTTTTGAGAAGCTCTTGCCGTCGCCTGACGCTTTCACCATCGGCTATATCTTCAAAAGTTATTGAAATTTTCACTTGAAATTTTAAAGGAACATTCTTGAATAGTTATAGGTCCGAATGAAATATAAAAAATCAATTTTTTGAAACCGAGACAAAAAAAATTGAATGAGCAAAAAATGAAAAAAAATTGAAAAAGTCGATTAAAAGTACTACTAGAAGTACTACTAATTTCGGAGGTTTATAAAACTACAACAATATACCACCGTATAGTCCCTGATCAAAGAAAAAAATTGTTCCTAAACGTCATCATTTGCAGATAAAACGGGCGGAAAGACGGAGGCTTATTCGAATTTTTATTTATTTGTCAAATTTTTTAATTTTTAGCTATTTAAATATTTTTGTTCTAATAAAACATTTTAAAATTGTTATGCTTTGGCTGCGGCTCGTGGGCTTATCTTGCACACGAAGTCTATTTTTAGTCACTGCTAAGCGGATCGCGAATCTTATTAACCATAAGCAAGTTTTAAGCTGTGTTTTATTTTGCCCTTCGCCATGAGCGCCTGCGCAAGCGAGAGGTTTTCACCAAGTTACCTTTCCGACTTCTTATCGTTTTGAAGTGAATATCAATTGCACTATAAATTAGTATAAAGGTTATTGATATAATGGAGAAATCATCTGCTCAATCGGGACCTAGTAATGGGTGCGAAAAGTTTGTGGAGATGAGAAAAGTTCATAGCTGATGCAGACCCTGGAAAAATACGCTGGCAGCTCCACGTCAAGCGTGCAGATTTAACTGCTTTACTCGTAGGTATGCCAGCATAATCAACGATCTCCACCTCGATGATGGCAATCAGCTGCAATACCACTACCAGTGTAAGATTGTGCTGTAGGACTACATACACCGGGTGTAGACGTGGCGTCTAGCATTTACCCAACTATGTCTAGTGAGAACAATTTGTCAAGATTCCTCAGTCTCCTTTACCTATATGCGTACCAAGTGAGAGCGATCCGCTTTCTTTAGAACATGCCCCTACAACATACGTACCTCATGGTTTGGTGTGTCCAGAGTTAATACAACTAACTCTGACGCTTTCTGTACAGCTGTAAGAAAAATTCAATTCTGGCATCATCAACATAAGAAAGAGAAACCTTACAGAATAGTGCTAAAAGAAATCCATGCTAATGTTCGCAAATCACATATAGAACAATCACTTAGTGACGACAGCTTTGTGGTACGAAATACATACTGCCCCAAAAAGGCAGACTGGAAGAACATTCAGGTCAATTGCGAAGATAATGAAGCTACAATAAAAAACAAAACTAGACAACATTTATTTTATATCAACCTTGAGCAAGGACCGAACGTTGCAGACGCGCTGAAAATAACACAACTTGGTAGATACAAAGTCACTGTTGAACGTGCTTTCCGTAAAAAACAGCTCTTATAATGTCAAAGATGCCAAATTTTTAGGCATTCTAAAAAGTACTGCCACCAGGACCCCCCTTTTGAAGTAAATATAGTGGTCCCCATCTGCCCGACTCCTTACTCTGCACAAGCGACATATGTTTGATCGTAAGCTGTGTAGGTAACCAAGCCTCGACAGACAAAGGTTGCCCTTTCAGAGCAGAAGGCCGAGGCCTAAGCTCCCGCCGACTGATAATCCTGGTACAAGCAACCCCGCTCGCTGCACCTCTCCCGGATACATACCTGCTTATGCATTGAGAGCCAACATATCGCATGCTCATATTGTTCGACCCAATAAGATCCGAAAAGGATTGACTATAGAGGCCAACAAAGCTTTCAGAGAACTGCTAAAGGTTCTTATTTCACGGATGCCAAAATGACTCAATCAATCTTAAAATTCGGATTGTGGATCCCTCGTGGATTAATAGAGGCTTTGAAGAACTTTGATTTCCTCAGCGCTCATAATATAGAGACAATGCTTGCCACAGATACGCAATTGCGCGATGGTTTGTAAGAAACGGGGACACCATGGGCAGGCTAAATGTACTTTTTTTAATTAAAAGTATATTTTTATTTAAAGTTTTTTGCTACCCATAAGACATTAGCTAACATTTCTTGCTCAAGAGTGTATATTTTTTTAGTTTGCAAATAAAAATATTCATTTATTTTTATATATATGTATCTCGATGAAAGATCGTGTGGTCTTCTTTTTGTTGGTCTACGAGTAAGTCTACTGGCCAGGAAGTTAGGATGAGAGCCAAGTCGTCTGAAGTAATTTTTCGCGTGCGTTTTACATACATCCCCTATCTTTGGGATTTTGAGATCTCTTTCGATGTCTCTAGTTCTCATGTACCAGGGGGTACATGAGGGGATTTTACTTTGTGCAACTTTAATTTTGTTGAGGTTCGATTTACCCGTTATGCAGTAGACTTGTAGCGCGTACCTTCAGATTGGGCTCAAGATGGATTTGTAAATGCTAACTTTGTTTGACAGTGAATGCTTATTTCTCGGAGACAGGAGCCACGACATCTGCTGCCTTTAAAAGCACTGACTGCTTGATCATTGTTGTGTGTCTCTGAAATGTAAGTCCTCTGTCCAAGATCACACCAAGGTACTTGTAAAAAGTCTGGTGACAGAGAGTAATGCCAAGCATAGTGATTCCTTAACAATACAAAGGTCTTTTCGCGAATGTGACACAAGCACATTTCCTGCAATTAATGCCTATGTTCCACTCAGTTGTCCTCATTTCGAATCGCGTCACATACTTTTATAATCCTGTTGTTACGATGTCTATGCTAGTACTCCTGACCATTACCGCAGTGTCGTCAGCATACGTTGCAATGAACAAGTTATCCTCGTCAACTTCTGTACATTCCTGAAGTATACAGCGAGTATAAAATTGCGCACAGTACACGGCCTTAGGGTACGCCTGCGGAGATAGGACGTTTGGACGATTTTTCACCGTCGACAACCACACAAAATTTACTCTTTGATAGAAAGCTTTTGATAAGAATAAAAAGCGGGGGTTTAGTAGAGACTTTAATTGGCCTATATGCATCGACTTCAGTGGGCTGCTTGCTAGGCTTGGGAATCATCGTAATAATCGCCGATTTCCATAAGGTAGGATAATGTCTTAGCCTCAGAACACAGTTGAACAGCAATACCATGAAGAGCACAGCCTTTATAGTCCTATCGTCAAGAAGATCCTCGCCTGGAGTTTATTTGGCTTTTAGATTTCTAATTTGAGTTTGGACCTCTTGTAGTGTAACTAGTTTCGTGGCTAAAGTCATTTGAAAAGGCCAGTCTAGGTGCATTTGAACTAGAGTTCCATTTTCTATCCGGGTGAGGTGTAAAGAGGATGGAAGAGGACTTCTTAATCTGGCTAGGAAGATTTTCCTGTTTGGAAGACGCAATAGACGCAGCCGTGTGTATTTTATCCATTAATTTCTGTACAGCATCTTCGATATTCTCTGGATAACATATTTCAATATTTAGTTTAATGCTTCTGTCCAAAGCATCCTTAAATTTCTCGATGGAAGAGCCGGGCGGGAGAATGGTTTTACTTCCGGACTTATATTGCACTGTATGGCTTAGTGTCAGAAGGAAGTTCATATTTTGTTTGGATTGACAGTTTGTTGATTGGAACCCCATTTGTAATGAAAAAGTCCAGAACCATTGGAGTAAGCCTGGTGTTAGATGAGAAAAAGGTAGGTTCACCAGTAGCAAGAACTTGGCGAAAGCTAGTCTTAATTGCTTCTTGTAGACGTTTTCCTCGACAACATGCCCTTAAGTTGCCCCACCATCGATGTTTCAGATTGTAGTCACCTCAAGCTAAAAACTTAGGACCCAGAGTGCTCAGAAGTTGGTCAAAGTCATTTTTTAACCAGGGCTGGTTGGAGGAAGACACAACGAAGATATTCTGATGACCCTACCACTGGTCGGAACATTTATACTTGCTAGTTGTAATTATAGGCTCATTCTGAAAGTGTTGAATGTTGGCTCTGATAGGTACTGCAGAACCGCCCTAAGCAGTATAACTTGGATGGTTAGCAGAGTATAGATCATAGCCAGGCATGTTAACTTTAAGTCCAGCCGCATATGAGTCTTAGTAATTAACATTATGTCGGATAAGTGGGCAAGAAGGAAAAGTCGAAGTTCTTCATTCTTTTTGTACTAGCTCACGAAAGGCCGTGTTCGATTCTATCGTTTCCGATACTATTTTGAGCAGTTGATCCAATGTAGCGTTAATATTAAATATTGTTTTCTCAAAGGTAGACAATTTCCTGTTTGAGTTGTAGTCTTCTCCAGAACTATGTGTGAGAATTTGTATAGCTGTAACGTTTGCAGTGTTACGAGAAATAATTCTTGTTATGTCTGCGTATGAGACGACATCTCTAACATCTTAAATTGAAGTTGAATTTGCGTTTCGGCTTTTATTTGATCTATTGCTGTTAATGCCGAGAAATCCTGCAACTGGCTTCAGCTTTTTACTCATTTCCATTCTGACTTTGCAGTCTTAAAACTGGCGGGGTGATTTTCTCCACAATTAGCACAAATGCATTGGTTGCTGATATTTGACACACACGATTTGGAGTTAGTGCGCACCTGCACAGTTCCCACACACAGTCTTTATGAAACAACAATTTCGTGTATGACCAAAATTTTGGCAGTTATAACACTGAACAAGATATTGCGAACAGCCTTCTCCACAGTGACCCTGTGTCTACCTATTTGCTTTATTTTTAATGATTCGGATACATTTCGAGTCTGCTTATAGTTGACATAAAATAAATATTGTCTTGTTTTTGCATTCCAAATTTCTTCGCTATCATAATCTTCTACATTAATTTCTCGCCAACTAGTCTTCCTTGGGCAGTATATATTTGATACGACAAATCATTTATCAGTAGGGACAGTAGAATGTATGTTCTTCATCACCAGTCTAAATGGTTTATACTCTCGGAGCTGATGATGCCAAAACTCAAAGTTTAAAGCAGTCAAGCTACGTACTGCTTTTCTGAATATATGCGAGAAATTTCATGCCTAGAAGTATGTATATCGTAATCCTCTGCGGAGATAATCTGATTTAGTGTACTTTTCAGCGATGCCGTGTTATTCACCTTGGGTACACAAATTGGTGGAGGCTTCAGATTAACCAACTGATTAGATCTCTGACCCTGTAGAGAATTGGGTTCAGAGGTCTCCTCGTTAATCTCCATCTCTTCCAAGGAGCTATTCTCCTCAGCTAGTGGTGCAAAGCGGTTATTGCCCAGACCATTTGACGTCGATGCATGGCTTGCCTTGTTTAAGTTACCTTTACTCATTTTCAAGTTGGCCGGTTCTCTACTAAGATCAGAAGGAGTCAGTTTTCTGCAAAGAGAAGAACTTCGTGGGCGTAAACATAGCATCAAAATAAGCTGAAATGGTACTAGTGGAGGCCCCAACGGTGTATTGTTCCAGAACAGGGACGAGTAACTGTTACTGTGTTGGCAGAACTAATTTTAGCAAATCCTAATTTTAGCAGTTAATGCTTATTTCTCGGAGACAGGAGCCACGACATCTTGGCTGTCTTTGAAAGCACTGACTGCTTGATCATTGTTATGTGTCTCTGAAATGTAAGTCTTCTGTCCAAGATCACATCAAGATCAAAGTCTGGTGACAGAGAGTAATGCCGAGCATAGTGATTCCTTAACAATACAAAGGTCTTTTCGCGAATGTGACACAAGCACATTTCCTGCAATTAATGCCTATGTTCCACTCAGTTGTCCTCATTTCGAATCGCGTCACATACTTTTATAATCCTGTTGTTGCGATGTCTATGCTAGTACTCCTGACCATTACCGCAGTGTCGTCAGCATACGTTGCAATGAACAAGTTATCCTCGTCAACTTCTGTACATTCCTGAAGTATACAGCGAGTATAAAATTGCGCACAGTACACGGCCTTAGGGTACGCCTGCGGAGATAGGACGTTTGGACGATTTTTCACCGTCGACAACCACACAAAATTTACTCTTTGATAGAAAGCTTTTGATAAGAATAAAAAGCGGGGGTTTAGTAGAGACTTTAATTGGCCTATATGCATCGACTTCAGTGGGCTGCTTCTAGGCTTGGGAATCATCGTAATAATCGCCGATTGTCACAAGGTAGGATAATGTCCCAGCCTCAGAACACAGTTGAACAGCAATACCATGAGGAGCACAGCCTTTATAGTTCTATCAAGAAGATCCTCGCCTGGAGTTTATTTGGCTTTTAGATTTCTAATTTGAGTCTGGACCTCTTGTAGTGTAACTGGGTTCGTGCCTAAAGCAATTTAAAAAGGCCAGTCTAGGTGCATTTGAACTAGAGTTTCATTTTCTATCGGGGTGAGGTGTAAAGGCTTCAATCTTTCCTCTAAGCAGTTTGCAAAGATATCAGCTTTCTGTTGACTGGAGCTGCACCATACACCAGCCGAATTTCTAATGGGAGCCTGCGGAATGACCTGTCGTTTTTATCGATTTGTGAGCTTCCATAAAGAATAGTTTGACGATGCATCTGGACTTGCATTTTCCATCATTTTGTCAAACTGGTCTTTCTTGTTTTCCGCCAAGACCTAGCTTAGCCGATTAGATAGACTCTTGTAAATATTGTATACACGGACATCACATGTTCTTGAATATTCCCTACTAGCTCGTTATTTTTGTTTAATGAGAGCTAAAGAATTTTGTCGAAAAGGACTTCCTCTAATCTGACTAGGAAGATTTTCCTGTTTGGAAGACGCAATAGACGCAGCCGTGTGTATTTTATCCATTAATATCTGTACAGCATCTTCGATATTCTCTGGATAACATATTTCAGCAACAGCCGGAGAGTGCAGACGTGTTTTGCGCGAGCTCCGGAAAAAAAACCGCTCAAAAGTGAAAAACAATAACTAAAAATACTGGAGTGGTGTAATAAAGGCAATCTTATTGATAAAAACAGTAAATAATAATTAGTGCTATGTAAAAAACTAGTGCAAAGTTATTTTAAAAACTAAGAAGTGCCACGAGTGATAGCTCAATGAGCGGCGATTCAAAAAATGAGCGTAGAAGCTCCGTAGACCAGAGAAACAGTTATATTTCTTATTTCTCAACCTGTGATACAGAAGTAAAAAGAACTTCTTCAAAGAGCAACTCAGCCCTTCTGACCATTGACAGTGCGAGAGCACGGTCTTGTTCTCCCGCCCTACTCACACCAACTCCCACTTCATGGAGCTTGCAGTGTAGAACCCCACCCCCAGCTTCGACTCACAGCTCACCAGCCACGAGCACTGCGACCTCGTTAATTTCTGCAACCGCAGCCACTGCAACAACAACATCAACGGTCGCCGTTAACAACAACGCGATTTCGAATGCGTTTGCAACTTCTGCAGCGCCGAATAAAACTACAAAGCCAAGTGTAAGTACGAGTGCCAATATCGGCAATATCAAACAACAACAAGTGGGTCCGGCTATACAGACTGGCATGGACCGTTACATCCAAATCAAACGGAAGCTAAGCCCGCAAAATAAAATGGTTGGAAATAAACCAAAACAAAATTGCCCTAATAAAGGCAGCGAACAACCAGGGCCATCTAGTAACAACAGATTCGCCCTATTGTCGGAAATTGATAATAATCAATCCGAATCTGGACAGGCTGTTCAAAAGAAACCAAAGCCCCCACCAATTTACATAAGGGAACAGAACTCAAATACCCTATTAAAGAAAATTGTTGCGCTGGTCGGGAATGACAACTTTTATGTAACTCCCCTTGTTAAAGAGAATATTCATGAAACAAAGCTTCAAGCTAAAACTGAAGATCAATTCAGAACTGTAACAAATTACCTAGACGAGGCTAGGAAACCCTACTACACGTACCAGCTCAAGAGTAGCAAGGGCTTGCAAGTAGTTCTAAAGGGCATAGAGCCCGACGTATCCACCAATGAGGTAAAAGAGCACTGAAAGAAAAAGGATTCTTCTCCAAAAATATTATTAATATTGTTTGTAGGGGGCGATCCTTCCACAAAAAAACACTTGAAGCACAGCACAGATTCCCACGGCGCAAACGTAATGGAAGATGAAAAAAAATGACGAAGTCGGGGGCGTCGTGGTATAGATCAATGTATTTAGTTCAGCTGCATACAAGAGACTAATTAAAACTTAAAACTAAAATCGCGCTCCCGCCCGCTTTACTCCGTTCAAGCGAGAGCGGGAGATCGGCAGCGGCCGTCCGAGGAGTTCGGATGCGAAACCCGAAGTTCGCACTCTGGAGCGCGGACGTTCCGAGAGGCAAGCGAGGGAGCGCAAGAGGGGCGAGAGCGAAAGCTCGGAGAGCTCAGTGTCCAGCGCCAATGCAGTGGGCCACTGACCTAAACATTCCGCCCCCCTTGCAACTACTCGGGTTGCAACATAGCCTGGTTGCTCTTTTCACGGCTGGTTACAGGCTCCGGACACGACCCACCCAAACTCTGGGCCACTGGCAAATCATCCTGAATTTTCAGGAAGCCCAGCCGCATCACACTCGGATACATATCCGCGCCCAGGATGATGGAGATCGTCGCGGGGAGATAAAACCGCTCATCAGCCAGCGTAATGTCCCGGAAGTGGGTCCTTACCGCGTCGCTTAGCTCCCGGATTGGAGTGCGGATGCGCACGTGAGGCTCTATTTTAAAAATTGCGTCGAGCCGGACAGCGCTGTCGATTTTGGACCCCACGGTTGCCGAACAAATCTGTTCGCCTCCCACGTTGGTGGTCGGCAAGCGGAAACTCGACGCTAGCGAAGCGTCGATACAGCTCATAGGCGTACACGGGTCGATGAGCGCCGCAGTGTCGAAGACTCGACTCCCGGTCTCTAACCTCACCAAAGCTGTCGGTAGGAGGTTGACGCTGTGCCGCTGTAGGAGGGACGTTAAGGACGGAGCGGTGACCGCAAGCTGCGTGGCACCCCGAGTAGCAGAAAATTGCCGCGGAGTGTCAGATGAGTGCCGTGAAGTGGCGAACGAGTACCGAGGAGCGGCTGAGGAATGCCGTAGAGTGGCGGACGAGGGCCGAGGAGCGGCTGTAGAATGCCGTGGAGTGGCTGAGGAGTGTTGCGGAGTGGCAGCCGTGATGCCATCGGTGGTTCCGAGAGATGAAGCAGAGTGTGGTGATCCTGGCCGCAAGTTTTGCAGCGATCACCTCGCCGACACGCTCCGTCGGAGTGCTCGTGGGCCAAACAGCGGTGGCAGTACCGGTTGGCAAGGACAGCCCGGAGCCTCTTCTCGGCACTCAGACGGAGGAACCGACGACACTTCCGAAGTGGATGGATCCCGCTACAGACTCGGCAACGGTAGGATTGCATACCTCGAGTTCGTCTGTGCCCCAATGCGATGGCGCTGCGCGGACGTGGAGACATCGTGTGAGATCTGATTGGCGGAATAGGACAAAAATAAAAAAATTTGGATCAGTAGTGATAAGAACTGTGAATTGGAACTACGGGTTGGAACTATTAATTGACGCTACGAATCGAAGTGATGAATTGAACCACCGGAGTGAAGGGTCGACTGGTTATTGCGGGCAGACGGACTCTTCCATTGGAAGAAGGACGACCTTCGCTATGGGACGCTTAATGAGTCCCCGTGCAGTGCGGATGTCGACCACACGAACATGGCCATCGGCTCCTGGAAACACCGCGGCGATTCTGCCTAATCGCCACTCATTGGACGGAAGGTTGTCTTCCTTGACTACCACCATGTCCCCGGCACGGAGATTTCTTGTAGGGGTTCGCCACTTATTCCGCTTATGGAGTTCCTTGAGGTACTCCTCCTTCCATCGCAGACGAAATTGTTTATCTCGGGTTCGACCATGGCGAGGAGGGGCCCTCCAACAAGAAAGTGCCCAGGCGTAAGTGCCAACAGGTCAGTGGGGTCTTCGGACATCGGCGCGAGCGGACGCGAATTCAGGCATGCTTCGATCCTAGCTAGAAGCGTGGACAGCTCTTCGAATGTGTATTTTCGCGTCGCCGTAGACTTGTAGAACAGGGTCTTGAAGCTCTTAACACCTGCTTCCCACAAACCTCCCGTGTGGGGTGCTCCCGGAGGAATGAATTGCCAGAGCAGCTGCTGGTGACTATAGGCACCTGTCACAGCTTCCTTGAGAGCTTGGAGAAACTCGCGGGAGAGTAAGGCAGCCGCACCCACAAAGGTCTTGCCATTGTCCGACTGAACTTGACGGGGGCATCCTCTTCGGGACACGAAACGGGCGAAGGCGGCGAGAAACTTCTCAGTCGTAAGGTCGGAAGTAGGTTCTAAATGGATGGCCTTAGTGGCGAAGCACACGAACACCAGCAC